ATGAGAGTCCAGAGTCATCCAGCGCTGGTTCTTCACCCTCGCTCTGCAGTCATCCAGCGCTGGTTCTTCACCCTCGCTCTGCAGTCATCCAGCGCTGGTTCCTCACCCTCGCTCTGCAGTCATCCAGCGCTGGTTCTTCACCCTCGTTCTACAGTCATCCTGTGGTGGTTCCTCACCCTCGCACTAGTCATCCAGTCGTGGTTCCTCACCATCGCACTAGTCAGCCAGTGGTGGTTCCTCACCCTCGCACTAGTCAGCCAGTGGTGGTTAGTCACCCTCGCACTAGAGTCATCCAGCGCTTGTTAATCACCCTTGCACTAGTTATCCAGCGCTGGTTCGTCACCTTCGCACTAGAGTCATTCAGTGGTGGTTAGTTACCCTCGCACTAGTCATCCAGTGGTGGTTAGTTACCCTCGCACTAGTCATCCAGTGGTGGTTAGTTACCCTCGCACTAGTCATCCAGTGGTGGTTAGTTACCCTCGCACTAGTCATCCAGTGGTGGTCAGTCACACTCGCACTAGTTATCCAGCGGTGGTTCCTCACCCTCGCTCTACAGTCATCCAGCACGGGTTCCTCACCCTTGCACTTGTGTCATCCAGCGCTGGTTCCTCACTCGTCAGTCATCAGTACAGGCGGTGGGCGGCAGTAAGAACTTTATGACACAAGAATGTAATTTTGTGTGTGAGTTTACGATTGTATGACGTCTTTCCCAGCGATGAGTTTGCAACAAGACGAGGCCTTTACCAGGCCTTGCGGGGCCAGGAGCTGTGACTCGACCCTAGCAACCACAACAAGGTCTTAGGTTTAAACAACTTACACCTGTACAAGTGATGATTTCTCAGAACAAATACAAGACTCTCTCTCTCCCTCTCTCTCTCCCTCTCTCTCTCTCTCTCTCTCTCTCTCTCTCTCTCTCTCTCTCTCTCTCTCTCTCTCTCTCTCTCTCTCTCTCTCTCTCTCTCTCTCTCTCTCTCTCTCTCTCTCTCTCCGTTCCCTATCTCATCAAATATCTATATTCTAGAGTCCTATTAAGTTTACACTACGATAAAATACTGTAAAGACAATACGTATAAAGAAACATTACACAGTACACAAGGAAACTTCAAGGATCGTTGTAGACTCGATCCTCCGTCCGCTGAGAGCGGCCAGGTCTCGTAGCAGAGACCTAACAACTCTGTTTCTGTCTGTCTGTCTGTCTGTCTGTCTCTCTCTCTCTCTCTCTCTCTCTCTCTCTCTCTCTCTCTCTCTCTCTCTCTCTCTCTCTCTCTCTCTCTCTCTCAAAATTAACAAGTTTACAATCCTGCAGCAAAAAATACTTAAGATAATCTCAGTTATTGGCTAGGCCTAATTCACTCTACATCACCTCTGTAATAGACCTTTCACCTGTTTTTTTTTATCGTTTGATATTACTGAGACACTTCACATTCATTTGTGACTTCTTCACATAATACTGATGATTTTCGGAAAATACTACTACTACTACGACTCTACTACTACTGTTTCCATCATGCCACTATTACTTAAACTACTACTGCTAAAACTACTACTACTACTACCAATAATAATAATAACAATAATAAATTATAATGATAATGCTTTTAAATGAGAATTTTACACTATCTTAAAGATAAGAGTGTAACGAGTACTGCAGTGGTAACAGCAATATATGTTATCTTTCCGTTCTAAGGAGGAGAGGACAGGTAAGCCAGTGGAATGCCTCGGTCAGATGACCAAAATCTGCAGTAGCGGGTCATCATACGACTTAGACTCGTGTCAGGAAACACTTGTCCTGTTTCCTGAGGAATCTCACTAAGTAGTGGCGAGCGATGCAGCAGCCTCACACAGGCGAGTCACGAGCTGCAAGCCACCATAAACACAAGATGTGTGGTCGAAAATGCTTGTGATTCGATTCCCAGGCCTCCATACACTAATATTTTCCTTTAATGCTTAAATATTTACAATATACGGCAAGGGCGCATATTTTTGTATTTATTTCAGCATGATACAATGTTTGTACAGAGATGGATGACATTTAGGTGTGTGTGTGGGTGCAGAAATCCCCTTAGTATGCAGAGCATATGTGACAACAGTACAGTAATTTCACTCACAAGAATGACATTAGAAAGAGTGTAATGTCTACATAAATGACTCATTACGATTGCAATCAGATATAAACACGTAAATATTTCATTTAACTTATTTAGCTATCAAAACTTTGCAGCCCAGTCCCTGGACCCATTATATGCCTCTGTGTAATATTTCGACTACTGCCCACAGGATTGCTATGGGGTGCATAATAATGATATTAAACTAACTCCCTTCCTAGGGTGGTGGCTGGCTTGTGTTGTATGAAACAGCAGTGGTTTGGTGTGTGACCTAGTGGCTACAAGAGGGGAGACTCCAATTCACTTAAACACTAACCTTAAATATTATTGACATCGGTGTATGTAAATAGCAATCTGTGTATGTAGACAGATGCACACCTCTCGACGTTTATGCATGGACAGATATACACCTCTCAGTGTATATACACATATGCACGCTTCAGTGTATATACACTGTACAAACACTGAAGACGAGACACCACCAGCATAGCTCTGCTGCTGTAACCACACATTGGCCTTAAACATTAAATGAATGCCCCCCTTCCCCCTCCACACACACGCACACAATTCCGAGCATTTCGCCCGAGTCACACAACCGAATAATCGCTGTAGCAAACGAAAGGCTGGCCAGTTTAAGGTCAACTTTCAGGAACATCAACAAGCATTCATTCACGACCCTATACACGACCTATGTTAGACCCACCCTGTAGGACACAGTGCCTGTATGTATTTCTCATCTTATAAAGCGTGTAAAGCGCTTGCAAATGTGCAAAGATTTGCAACAAAGCTAGTACCAGAACTGAGAGGTGTGAACTATGACAAGATGTTAGTGGAACTAAATCTAATGACTCTATAGAGCAGAAGGACAAGAGGTGACAGGATTACGACGTACAATATACCAAAAGGAAGTGACAGGGTGAACAGGGCGAATCTGAGAAGCGGGTCTCAGGTACACTAGGTCACAGCGGGAAAAACACAAAGTTATTAGGAAGAGGAAAGACGTAGACAGTGAAGAGATGAAGGCGGGATACTTCCACCCGTTTAGTGATCCATACTTTGTTTTAAGGATGGGGTATGAGAGAGAGAATACAACAAATTCTAACAACACAATTCAGCGAAAAACTAATGTGAAGGACTTGGGAGTGTTGATGTCAGATGATCTCACCTTCAAGGATCTCACCTTCAAAGATCTCACCTTCAAGGATCACACCTTCAAGGATCACAAGAATGTCTCTCACTTCTGCAAGGAAAATGATAAGATGGATAATGAGAACTTTCAAAACGAGATGCCAAGCCAGTGATCATCCTCTTTAAGTCACTTGTTTTCTGTAGGCTGGAATACTGCTGTACACTAACAGCCTCATTCAAGGCAGATAGATATACAGAGAACCTTCACTGCACGTATTAGTTCAGTCAAGCACCTTAATTACTGAGGACCTTTGAAATCCCTTGATCTGGAACTCAGGCAAGAAATACATCATAATCTATACCTGGAAACTCCTAGTGGGACTGATCCCAAATCTGCACATAGAAATCACTCCCAACGAAAGCGAAAGTCCAGGCAGATGGTGCAACATAAACCTAATGAAAAGCAGGAGTGCCGTGAGTACACTAAGAAAAAACACAGTAAGCGTCCGGGGCCCAAGACTCTTTAATAGCCTCCCATCATACAACAGGGGAATTACCAATAGATCCCTGGCTGTGTTCAAAAGAGAACTGGACAGATACCTAAAATCATTGCCCGATCAGCCGGTCTGTGTTTCTTAGGTTGGATTGCGCGCGGCCAGCAGCAACAGCCTGGTTGATCAGGCACTGATCCACTTGGAGGTCGAGTCGATGATCGGTCCGCGGAGGCGTTGACCCCCGGAACAAATTCCGGGTACACTCCAGGTAGGTAGGACTCACGCAGCCGGAAGAGTATAAACCCGTCAGCAGCCAGCGGAGAAGCGAGGGCCAGGAGCTGAGACTCGACCCCTGCAATCACAGACGAATACAGTTAGGCGAGTACACACAAATTAGACAAGCGCAAATAAACACCGACTCGTAAGTAAATGCATTGAAACAGCTTTCGCCTAACAGTTCAAGAACGTCGTCCTAAAATTAGTTGAAATCGGTGTTATTGAACGAAAGTGAACAACCCACAGAGAAACGCGATTGCCAACAAGGCATCAATTAAACAGGTAGCCTGGTCAATACATCCTTGTCCAGGATAGAGCAAATATTGTCTCCCCGGAGATTGCAAACCAGTCTACCGTTTGAGGATGTATTGATGTGTGTGTGGATGTGTTGATGGGTGTATGTGGATGTGTGGATGTATTGATGCGTGTGTGGATGTGTTGATGTGTGAGGATATGTGGTGGTTAGTGATTTTTTGATGTAATGATTTGGCGGCGCCTTCGAGATTTCGATTATGGTTGTGGTGTTTTAGTTAAGGTGGTGTTGTGGTGTTAGTTAAGGTGATGTAGTGTTAGGAGTGGTGGGGGAGGGGTAGTTAACAGTAGTGTTTGCAAGGGAAATGTTTGTTGAAATTTGTGGTGATGGTGAGGTATAGTGGTGCTGGTACCTTGTTAGTAGCGGTAGTGGTAGTGTTTAAGTAGTGAAGTTAGTGGTAGTTATGGTGGTGAGGTCGTTATAATGTGATACGAACTACCCAAAGGACTTTCAGCATTAACACTTTATCATATTACCGAGAGGCGCTCGGTCCCTGTGAGTCGTTGAACACAAGGAGTGCTGGAGGTTTGATCCAGTGCACGAGGTGAAGTGACAGTAGAACTGGCTGGTGTACAGGGTTTCAGAGGTCAGCACTGATGGACACTTCATAGATTGTGACTGTTTGGTCTGGTGTGACAGCGTCCGTGTTAAACGGAACACTGAACAGACATAACAGCTTGAGCCGATCTTCTGGAAATACGAACACGTATGCGAACTGGGAAGGAAATTTACCTGGTGTAGTATATCATCTTATTGTGGAGTATCATCCAGAAATATCAAATGATTGTGCCTCTTCATAGGTCCAGCAATAACTGGTGCTAAAGTACTGCTACATTCTTGAAGTTTCAATTACGGCTGCTGTTCACCAGCTGTATGAAGATGAGGGACCCTGTCACCAGCAAC